TTTGCAAAGAGCCTACTGCATCTTCTACTGCTGCCGAGTCGCCTGCTATGAGCTTTAGAAATTGGAAAAAATATGAATAGAATTTGTCAAAAAATTGATGTTTTTCAGTTTTTCGATAATAACTCAAAAAGCAGGCGACTCGGCAGCAGTAAGAAGATGCTAGTAGGCTCGTTGGAAAGGTGAGACATTCAGCTTTCATGCGAGTGGTCGATGATGTAATTATCTTAAAGGGTTGTCGAGAAATTCACGAAAAACTGGAAAAAAAATCGGAAAAAACGTCGTTTTCTGTTAAATAACAAACATTGCGTAACTTTTGTTACCTAAAAAGTTGCGCAACGATTGCGTGCATCTGATTATGCAATAAAATTAAAAAAAAGTTTATTACTTTTTGAGTTATTATCGAAAAACTGAAAACATTGATTTTTTGACAAATTCAATTCACTTTTTTTCCAATTTCTAAAGCTCATAGCAGGCGACTCGGTGGCAGTAAGAAGATGCTAGTAGGCTCGTTGGAAAGGTGAGACATTCAGCTTTCATACGAGTGGTCGATGATGTAATTATCTTAAGGGGGTTGTCGAGAAATTAAATGAAAAACTGTAAAAAATCGGAAAAAACGTCTTTTTTCTGTTACGTAACAAACGTTACGTAACTTTTGTTACCTAATAAGTTGCGCAACGATTGCGTGCATCTGATTATGTAATAAAATCATAAAAAAGTTTATTACTTTTCGAGTTATTATCAAAAAACTGAAAACATCCATTTTTATCTTGAATTATAAAAATTAAAAAAATTCACGAAAAACTGAATACATCCATTTTTTGACAAATTCTATTCACTTTTTTTCCAATTTCTAAAGCTCATAGCAGGCGACTCGGTGGAATTGAGGGGTTGTTGAGAAATTCACGAAAAACTGAAATACAACCATTTTTTGGCAATTTCTATTCACTTTTTTTCCAATTTCTAAAGCTCATAGCAGGCGACTGAAAACATCCATTTTTTGACAAATTCTATTCACTTTTTTTCCAATTTCTAAAGCTCATAGCAGGCGACTCGGCGGCAGTACGAAGATGCTAGTAGGCTCGTTGGAAAGGTGAGACATTCAGCTTTCATACGAGTGGTCGATGATGTAATTATCTTAAGGGGTTGTCGAGATATTATCGAAAAACTGAAAAAAAATTGAAAAAAACGTCTTTTTTCTGTTACGTAACAAATATTACGTAACTTTAGTTACCTAAAAAGTTGCGCAACGATTGCGTGCAT